CTTCCGTGACCAAATCAACACATCCGTCTCGCAGCAACCACACGAGATAACCACAGCCGGAATATTTTAACATAATGCAACCACAGACTCGTGCCAGTTTTCATCTGCTCGGAGAGGTTCTTGGCCACGGTACAGATTTCGACTACTTAAAAGGGGGGGAACGTGGTTTGCAACGGATAAAAAGGCAGCTATGACAAGGAGGGCTTCGGGTGATGAATGGCGCTCCCAGCTTGGCTGACCATGTGTGAGGTTTGCATGGAAAGGCACGCTCTATGCTTTGTAGGTGAAGGTTGTTAGCTTGTAGTTGCATCCGTACCGCTGCTCCTTGGCCGCTCCAGGAACCTGTGCGCTTTGTTTAAGGCTGGAGAAGAAATTTAAAATTGTTGCTTCGGTTTGCTCATTTCAAAAATTGCCTTTTTTTGTCTGAAACAATAGGAAGGACTATGTCCCCATGCTAGTTCCTTTTTCAAGCGTATCATGAAGAAGTAATACAAATGTTGGTCTCCACGATGTAGAAAAGATGCGGAGACTCTAGAAAGAGTGCAGAGAAGAGCAACAAAGATGGTTAGGGGACTGGAGGCTAAAACATATGATGGATGGTTGCAGGAACCGGGCATGGCTAGTCTAGGGAAGAGAAGGACCACTGAAGATACAATAGCAGTGTTCCAATATTTGAGAGGCTGCCACAGAGAGGAGAAGGGGGTCAAGCTATTTTCCAAAGCACCTGAAGACCAGAATAATGGATAGAAACTGACCAAGGAGAGATTCAACCTAGAAATAACGAGGAATTTTCTAACAGTAAGAACAAACAACAGAAGTTGCCTTGGAAGTTGTGGGAGCTTCATTCCTGGAGGTTTTCAAGAAGAGACTAGACTGCCATTTTTCAGAAATGGTGTAGGGTCTCCTGCTTGGGCGGGGGGTTGGACTAGATGACCTACAAGGTCCCTTCCAACTCTCTTATTCTGTTATTATTACTAAGCAGCTGTGAGTTGAGGGCTACCTATATTTCAAAGTAGTCTTTAGCGCCAACGGTTGGCTGTATCCCCAAATCTCATTCCAGATGGGAGGGTGTCCTAGATTATGGCCTGGTTTCCCCCCCTCTCTGCCTTCTTTCTGAACCTTCAAGAGTCCATGGAACTAAGCGTTCACAAGAACCATGCTTATTATTATTATTTTTTAACTTGCCCCTTAGGCCTGGGCGTAATTAGAGTTTTCTGATTTCCATTGCAATTGGGATACTATTCACAGCAATCAAACCAGCCATGCATTTGCATAAGCTCAAAAATATTTAAGCACAGATTAGATGGTGATCTTTTTTTACCCGTAGACAAAGGTCAACCATCTTCTGAGCCAGCTGTCCGGGTGATTCTGAGATGGCTCTTGATTAAGGGTCAGAGACCCAGGCAGACTTGATGCCGAATGTGTATTTAAGAGCATCAAATCCTGGGTCATCTTTTAACCTTTGCCCTCCCATCAATATTCCAAGGGCTTTAAATATTTCACGTACCGTTAATAAATATTTGATTCGGCCTCTTCCAGAGGAATCGAAGATGCTTGGCGACATTTGGGAGGAGTTAAGAGGAAAGGGGGCCGCTTCGAGGGAAAAAAGTATCATAGGTCTGGAAGGGACCTTGGAGGTCTTCTAGTCCAACCCCTGCTCAAGCAGGGACCCCAACACCATTTCTGTTCTGAGCCAGGCTTCCTTAAAAAGCAAGAAGCAAAATCTTGCTCCCAGGAAAACCTCTTTTAGTTACCTGGCTGTGAATTCCTTTCGTTCACAGTCAGCAAGGCTTAGCAAAAACAGTCTTTCAGAGGAATGTTAATCAACACGAACCTTATCTCGCTTGGAGAGCTGCCAAATATTAGTTTCCAGGCTCAGGGCAAGGCGAAACTTGGCAACAGCGTCTCTTCTAGTCACAAATAGAACTTTCCGCTCTTGAAGTGACCAAAGGAATGAATTGTTTCCTGCAAAAGCATTCTCTCGTCTCCATCGTCTTTGTTCGGTGATGGGGCTGTCTTGTTTCAAATGGCTTCCACTTCTCCTCAACCCGCACGAGAGGAAGAGCATGACGGGATGCTGGAAAAAAAAGATCAATTTTATTGAAATGGAATGTGGCAAAGATGGCGCGAAGCTCCTTCAAGCTGAGCTTGACTTGAGGAGATTTTATGGACTAGGTGAACTCTGGGCAACAGTACATCATTTATTGCCACACTTTTCTTCCAGAAGGGATGGACATCTTCTTAAATTGGGTTTTTGGCTATCTTGCATCCATACTGTGTTTCCCCCTGAATGTAAGACTGGGTCTTATATTAAATTTGGCTCCAAAAGATGCATTGGGGCTTATTTTAGGGTTAGATCTTGTTCAGAGGTGGTATTCTGCCAGTTTGCACTGGTTTGGGCAAACTGGTAGTGGCAGTGGCATGAGGCTCTGCCCACCCAGTTAGATGTCATCATGGACCTTCTGCGAGTGCACTCCCGTAGGGAAGAAAATAGGATGCCATTACTGGTCTGGTTTTCTGGGAAATATAGTACTAAATGCATCCATCTGGTTGACAATCTTTTTTTATATATATAAAAGTTTTTCTCTCTCTTACAAATAACCACAAGTATACCATTACATCATTAACCAATATTATTTTGTGTTATCCAATATTGTATCAATTCCTATTCCCATCAAACCACAGCAATTATCATTTGCTCTTCTGCTTTCCATGCACCTTATCAGTGGTGGGATTCAGCCAGTTTGCACCTATTCAGGAGAACCGGTTGTTAACTTTCTAAGCAGTTCGGAGAACCAGTTGCTGGAAGAAATCTCCTTTTGTTTTTTTCCACTTTCCAGGGATAATCCTGTAAGGAAGGCAGGAAGGAAACATTCTGGTGTTGTTTCTAGCCTCATCTTTGTTGCCCTGCTTACAGAAACTGCCTCTCTGGTTAACCCTGATTCCATTGTAACAGCTAAGGCAAAGCGCCCATCGACCTGAGTTTGCCACAGCCACATTGTCACATGACCACCGAGCTATGCCT